AATCCTGTCCTTACAGAAAGGTATGTCACAGATGATTAGCAGCTGTTTATAACAGTGGTGTATCCAGAAATAATAATTTGGGTGTGCCTGTAGGATTTTAGGTGACCTTGCCACATAGCAAAAATTTTAAGAGCTCACACTTAAAAAAACTAATTTGGAGCCTGTTTACCATTTTTACCTACAGTGATGCAGCCTAAACTCACAATATTCAGAAAAAGTACAAATAATGTGATGTAAACAAATATTTTTCTAACCACATTTTTGTATCATTATTTAGAAGGTCATCACAATATCATTGTGAATGTACGGTGGCCGAGAAGTGCAAAGCAAATCACAGTTGAATACGAGATTTGAAAAGGGAGGAAAAAAAGTTCGGCAAAAGGCGGGATCGAACCCGGTTCGATCGCGTCAAAAAGCCAAGGTCACACGCTTATTCATCTGCATCGCTGGAGCTGACGATTTATAGCCACTTTTAACTAAATGTAAATAGACACCCCGTATTTTTTATTTCATAGTAAGGGCAATTCATACAATACATTTAAACTGAGCTACTTTAATACCATCTCCGAACTTTCTACCACGACTCTGCTGTTCTTCGGCTGGTTCTTCCTGTATACGTTGATTGACAGATGTCTCGTCCAGTCAGCGGTGAGTAATCCCAAACCAATGGCGCTGTCTCAAACTATACCTACCTCTTCCGGTTTGTCTGATTTGTCGTTGTGTTTTCTGACTTGTTAATTTGTTTTCGGATTTGTCCTTGTGTTTTCTGACTTTTGTTTTCAAATTTGTCATTGTGTGTTTTCAACAATTGTTGTTGTGCTTTCTGAATTGTTATTTTGTTTTTTAGACTTGCATTTGCATTTGTAATTTGTTATTTTGTTTTCAGAATTGTGATTTGCTTTGCACTTCTCAGTCACCGTAGAATGGCCAGAAATATGGATGTCATTTCTGCTTGCAACATAGGACCTTGATTTCACTCATAAGTCATTTTTGCAAGGCATGGCATGACATATGCATTTCACGGGACTCTTCTGAAGAGAGAGAGTGTGAAGTGGGAAGTGTTATCTTTGATGGCATCTGGTTGTTGTTTGCAAGTAGGCTATGATTATGAAAAACTTTTTAAAAAATTTAAAAAATTCAGAAAGGAGATTGTGAGGAAGACAAGAAAAGACCATGTAGGGGAGTTATCTAGCCTACTGTCAGCGCAGATTCATGGTAAAGAAGCGCTGGTTGTTAACCTGCACCTGTATGTAGGTTACTGAGGCTAGGAATAGAAAGAAACATGGATGGACTTACTTTTTTAATGAAAGTTAGAGTATTCATGTAAAAATACAGAAAATACGTCATATAATTATTCAAGTGGTCAAGTGCAAAGACCTCAAGTGTGGGTGTTTGGACAAGGCAAGAATAGTGTGAAAACTGATAAGGGAAATTATTTTAGTTTTAAGATGTGGGAAGACATCAGATGTGAAATGGCTTAGTAATGTTTATTTTGGCATATCTCGAAAGTATCATGGAAAGCAAACTGCAGACAAGCAACGCTATTGCTTAATACGCAAAATCTAGTAGGTGGAAAGTAGGGGTGCGCCGATTGATCGGCTACCGATCGCTATCGGCCGATAATTACGTTGGATGATTGATCTGCGGTCTCTAAAAGGCCGATCTAAAAAAAACGATCTCAAGCTTGATGATGCTGCCGTGAGAGGTTTGGCAGCGGCACCGTCTCAGTCTCTGTCCGGCACAGACAATAATTATTGCGGGTGAAATAATTATAATGCTGAAGGTGAGGTACTCACCTTCACGTTTTTTTCATTTAATAACTTATAAAGTAATTTGAAAACCTTGTGTGAGACGTAATTTCACAAACAGCGTGAGTGAATCACCGCACGCTCTCTCTCTTTCTCTCTCAAAATACGCAAATGGCTTCAAATCACCACACATCGCGTCTGTCTATAAGCGAGCTGCACGCTGCACAGTTGACACAGGAATTGTCACTTGCACAATTGAGGCAGTGTCACATCGTCACTAAAGTTTATAAATTGCATTTATTTTTAATTCTTGCCAGTGTTTAACCATTCAGCGCTTGCGCGCTCTCCTGGAGACCGTACGCTCATGCACACTCACAGCACACACACATAACGCCAGGTTCACATTACTCCGTTTGCAGTGCATCCGTGGTGCGTATTTTTTCTGTGCTCATGTTAACGGATTACAGCGTTCACTGCACACGGTTGCGGTCTGGCAGTGAGTTCCAGGAGCGGTGCGTCTGCTGTAGTGCTGAGATCGTTTCCGCACCGAGTCTATTGCTGCGCTGCAAGTGTTGAATTAAAGTAACAGCGCATGGTTTGCAGTAAATATGAACATGGATTGACACGAAAATTTTGTAATTGCACCATAAAGGCATATTATTAAAGTCTACTGTGTTTCACAGTCAACACATATGGCTTTTTGCCATGTGAAAAAAAAGCACTGTGAAAGCACAGTCCATGCTGCTTACCCTCTCACAAGAGTCACCTAAGAGGGGAATTCCCCCCATTTTCAAAAATGAAATTCAGGCCCTGAATAACTGTCTAAAAATCCTGATTGGGGTATCACTATAAATAGTTATAAATGATAAAAAAGAAGGCTTTAAAGTGCCCCTATTATGCCTTTTCGAATATTACCTTTCATGCAGTGTGTCATGTAGTTGTATGTGAACATAAACTATCTGCAAAGTAGTGAAGCCGAGAGTGCACGATAAATAAAGTTATTGTCTATCAAAAAAAAAAAAAGAATCGGCTCGTAATCGCCTAAACGAGTCGTCAGGAATTCGAATCTTATTCTGTTACGGCTCTACGTCACGAAGTAACACATTTGCATAATATCCGCCCACGTTCTACATCGCCAACTTGCCTGCCCACAAACACAGTAACATTTCTGTGTGGTTAACATCATGTCGAGAAAACGCTGTATCCTATGCTGTGAGAGTAAATTTGTTTTATCAAATCTTATAATTACCAAACTTGTCTACACTTGACACTTACCACTGAGAAACGTCCTGCTCCAGTCGTGCTTGTGATTCAGTCTCTTGTCAATCAGCCACTTCGACCGTGTCTCCAGGGCTGTCATTCCGTCATGGCAATGGACGTTTCGTTTCTGACACACGCTGTACGCGGTAGATCAATCCAGAGCTAATCTCTCTACTGCACAATGGACTGCGCCTTCTGACCAATCACAAATACATATACAATTATGAAACTAATAAATATAGTCAACATTTATATGTTAAGATTGTTAGCAGATTGTAGTGGTCTCATCTCGTGCTCTTTCTTTCCCACATGCAGCCTTACATTTAACTCTCCTGTGGTAAATAAAGCAAAATAAAAAATGACAGAGCCTCAGCTGTTTCTTGCCGTTTTTACTTAGTTTAACCTATTCACACAATGCAATATGCAAATGTAACATTCGTCGCCATAACCATTCATAAATACTCTTAATTTGTATAATAACAACAACATTTATTGCAACCACTCCATTGCAGAGCTTTTAAAAAACTCTTTCAACGGCTCTGCTCCATCGTTAATTCTAACTGGTGATGCAGTGCACAATGACAGTTAGGTGATTTTCTCTCTCCACTTCCTGTGAAGTGATGTATCAGTGTTCCCTTATTCCCTATGCGGTTTGCAGTGCCCTTTGAACTGAACATGTTCGCTTCCTTCGGATTGGAATCTCACTTAAGATGGCGGAATACCACTTTGCAGTCCACATACGGTCAAATGGTACGCACCTCAACACTCCCTTCGAATTGGAATCATGGTGTTATATCCTGTGATGTCCAATTTGCAGGGCACTTACATTGAATAGAACAAACGTCTGAAGTGATAAGAGATACATATAAAATGTGCAGAGCGGTGGTACTCGATGACTGGAATTGAAAACCAATGATATAGTTAATTTGATTTGCTATTAGACACAGTCCAAGCAGGCATGGTCTGTTTGAAATGGCCATAATGTGGATGTAATTTTTGTAAGCTAACCCTAGCATAGGAAACTCAATGCGAGTACTGATTGCCATTTCTTTTTGTACCCTTTATGTTTTTTTCTCTTGTATTTTCTTTGTTTCTTGTGTGTCTCTGAAGTATGGCAAATACACCCTCTTACTGGACTTTGAAACGAAAATCTAGAGAAAGAGTTAAACAACAACTGGAGTCAGTTCAGTGTGGTTTTGGTTGTAGTGCTGAAAATTTACCAATTGACAGTTATGAATATCCAGTTAACACTGATGAGGACTTTATGGACTATGAATCATCTTTCCCTGAGGAGTTAGATTATTTACATTCTGATAACAGTAGTTCTAGTGAAGAAGAGGAAGCTTGTCTGGAAAGTAGACTAGCAACCTGGGCATTGGAAGAAAACAACACACAGTGCATTGAATAAATTATTGGGAATTCTAAAGGACAATCATCCATCATTGCCAGCTGATGCAAGAACACTACTCAGGACTTCACGGTCAGAGTCAGTGGTTGTCCAGGAAAAGGCTGGTGGGACATACCATTACTTTGGAATCCTGAAGTCAATGAAGACCACTTTGGAGGCAAATAAGTGCAGTTTGGCTAATGGTGTATGCCTAGAATGTGGATGGGTTGCCAGTATTTAAAAGTTCTTCCACCCAGTTCTGGCCCATTCTTGGAGTCATCAAGAACCTCCCCCAGCATCAGCCATTTGTGATTGGGCTTTTCTGTGGCACCAGCAAGCCAGCAAGCCTTCTTGAGTACCTGGAAGATTTTGTGGCTGAAGTTGTGTTGTTGGAGAAAGGATTTTCATTTCAAGGATTTACAATGAGGCTCCAACTGTGCTCAATGGTCTGTGATGCTCCAGCCAGAGCTTTTTTGAAGAATGTGAAAGGGCACACAGGCTACTCGGGGTGTGAGAAATGTATGCAGGAGGGGGAATATGTGAACAATAGGGTGGTATTCCCTCAAACTGATGCCCGCCTTCGCACTGATAAAGACTTCAAAGAAATGGCTGATGAAGGGCATCATCTTGGATCTTCACTTCTTGTTGCCACATCTTTGGGCATGGTCAGTGGGTTTCCATTAGACTACATGCATCTTGTCTGCTTGGGTGTCATGAGGCGACTCTTGTACCTGTGGCTCAAGGGTCCACTGGCTTGTAGGCTCTCAGGTTTACAGGTGAATAATCTCTCTGAAAAGCTCTTGGAGATCAGAAAAAGTGTGCCAGTGGAATTTGCACGAAGGCCAAGATCGTTGAATGAAGTTGGTCGATGGAAAGCCTCTGAATTCCGCCAGTTCCTGCTTTATACTGGTCCTGTGCTCCTTAAAGATTTCCTGCATACTGCAGTATACCAGCACTTCTTGCTTTTGTTTGTTGGAGTGTTCATACTGTCTAACAAGGCACTGCTTGAGGAGTACACTGACTGCAAATGATGCACTTGTGTTGTTTGTTCAGCACTTTGGAAAGCTGTATGGTGACATGTACCTTTCCTACAATGTGCACAACCTTGTGCACCTTGCACAAGATGTCAAAGTGCATGGGAACCTGGATTCCTTCAGTGCCTTCAAATTTGAAAATTTCATGCAAAAACTAAAGAGGCTTGTTAGGAAACCAGAATCTCCCTGCTGCCAGGTTGTGAAGAGGCTTGCGGAGAGAGAGTCAGTACAAATGCAAAGAGTAGAAAGTTCAGGTGTAAGGAGAGAACACACATCTGGACCTCTACCACCATGTTTTCAGTGTCCACAACAGTACACCCAATATAACACAGAGCTCTTCACCCTTAAACTTGACCAAGCCAACAGCCACGTCTACATTCAGGGAAAGGTAGCAAAGATCAGGAATATAATTGTTGAGAAAGAGGAGGTACACCTGGTCTACTCCACATTTGCCCATCAAGAGTCCTTCTTTGAGTACCCCACATCTTCCTCTACATTTGGCATACATTTAGTAGATGGCCTCTTGGACATGACACAGCACTGCAGTATTGGACTGGTTGAAGGGAAGGTTTTCCTTATACCTCATGGGAGACAATTTGTTGCTGTACCTCTAATACATATGAACTGACAATTTAAACTCCATCCAACAACACACCAGAACTATCTCACCCCCTTGCCATCCACTATCTCTCAGCCTCTTGCTTGACTCTTTCCACAGTCTTATGAAGTTGTATATGTAGTATGTATTACGTCTGTCTGTCTGTCCGTGAGTGTGTCTGTCAGTCCATCCGTCTGTCTAGCTGTCCATCCATCTGTCTGCCCTGCTTGTTGCTGCCTCTCCTGCCAACAAAGCTTCTTCCCCTGATCTGCAGTAATCTCCTTAACTGAACAGTAAGTAGTTACTGTAAAATGTTTTCTCTATTGCCGTGCAGGGTTTAAAGTGAACTTTTTTGCTCACTACTCACATTCACATTTTCACTAAGTTAGGCCTACAACTAAAGTATATTTAAGTATAAATGGCCAAGTAAGCATAAATCCGTTTTAAACGCATTAAAACACACAACTGATTAACTTATTAATCAAAAAATGAACATCAAATTATTTACTATTTGCTATTAGTGTTTTTACATGATTCTCTATAGGCTGTGATCATGATATTCCTATGCGTCTGCATTCACACAGCACTGCGGCTTGGTTGTAAAGAGTAGCTTTGTTCTGGCAGAAGGATGACGGGGGTGAGGAATAGGGAGGGAGGGGGCGGGGTGCATTTGACAGCTTGATGAAGGGTCACTGTGTTGTGGTGTCATGTAGGCATTATGGAGGTTTTTTTTTCTGAAACTTTTAAAATTTTGTAATGACAAGTGAGTTAGCTATCATAAAGTAAGTAAATGCTGTTCTGTAAAGGTGCGTTATTTGTGATATGTGTGTTTTAGCTCCACTAGCCAAAGTGTGTTGCCCACCATTGCTGAATTTTACCTGCATTTGGTGGGTGGGTGGGTGCCAACTTTTAACCCTGGTGTCATGACATAAACTAGTTTGTTGCAAGACATTTTGCATCACACAAGAACATGACCTGTACTAGGTAGTATTTTTATACCCAACTGATTACTAATTAAAGTACACTTTTTATTGTGTTACATATTTTGTATTAGGTGATTATGTATCTAATAGTACTTTTCGAGGAGGAAAACAAAACTGGCCCGGTGGCAAAGGAGTGGTTTTTAGATGGCCTTGCTTGGTGGCCCCCATACAGGAACAAGTCCCAGATTCTCCGAAGTGTCCAAAAAAAGGTTGTCCCCAATCCATCAAAGGGCTGGAGACAATTTGCTGCACGTGTGCTCTACGAATCAGGTAATTTTCAGTGTAGCAACATGCATTTGAGTATTACAGCATCTGGCGTTGCTGTTAACCCTGGGTTAGGAGACCCCGGGCGTGGCACAGGGGCTCTCAAGACATTGGGGATGCTAAATTGGGAAGGGATTTTTGATATCTCAAACGGTTTGCTCGTGGTGAGGTGATGAATTTATGGCGAGAAATGAGAAACAGGAAGTGTCTAATAACATCCACATACATTGTCTGATTTTGATCAAACTTCAGGGGTTTATAGCGCCACCAACTGGCAGCAGGAAGTGTGTCATTTTCAAAATACTTTGAATTCAGCATCTTATTTTTACTCAATTTGCTTCAAACTTCATCAGAATAATGTCAAAACGGCCGATGTAAAACTGTTGAGGGGATATAATTAGGTTAATAATTATGTTAATTGCAACATAAAAAGTTCAAAAGATGCATACATGTGAACTTATACATTTTTTGTGCTGCAAATAATAATTTTAAACTCATTTGATACTGACCTATGGACTGCACGCGAGTACCAAACTGAGTCCTCTTTCTAGTCTGCTTGAGCAAATGCACAGAATATTGTTAATGGATGTTTTGAGAGTATCCATGCAAACGCGATTTGTTTTATCTTCACCCCAAACCAGAGCAGGTTCACGACTTCTTCCACCTGTAACGGCAGTACTACTCGGTCACCTAGCCATATCGGCTAAAATGCATAAGCATTTGCACTTACTATGGGCTCAACAGTCCTTTCAAGTTCGTCTTTCTCCATTTAAACAAGCGTGTGTTCAAAAAGTAAAGAAATGCTTATATATTACTTAACTGGCCAACGGAGCGAACCAACCCCGTGACGTCACACGTTGTGGTACTGCAAGATGGTGGCACCCTTGCTCCAAAAGCTATAACAAAACATAATTTTTTCTTTAAAATGGTTACATTAATCGTGTTTGTTATCATTATTTTAATTAAAGTTGAAGTCAATTTACTAAATAATGTAAATTTGACTGCCTGCTTCACTTCCACTTTAACTACTATCACTACCTATACTTTGGCTACATGTAACCAGTTTATGTTATAGTTGAATAGTTAACATGCTAAATGTTGCTTACAGATTCAATTAACAAAATACAAGAAAAGTGGGAAAAATCATGTGTAACATCAGACCTAAACACAGACAAAGAACACGAAGTTACAACTGTACGACAACGAAGGAAGTAAGCACATATTTCTTTGTTGAATATGAAATAATCCTCCTTTTAGTCTGAGTTTTGACTGTATCCCACAACATTTATGGAACTGTGTTGTCTTTATGGTTGAGGGAAATGTTGTCATATTTGCTTGTACCTTTGCTTGTATTGCATAATATTATGCATGAAAACCAAATAATAATGGTTAATTTACTTACATAGACCAAAACGTCTCAGGTCACCATCACCCTCATCAACATCATCACCTCCATCAGAGGAAGATGACCATTTGGCAACTTTACAAGAAACTTGCCTGCCCAAAACACCAAAAAGGGTTAATCGACTCCCTTCCAGAAACCTAACAGCCCCTCCTCCCTTACCAGTGGTCACAAGACCAAAGAGCACAGATGCCATCAGAGCTGGTAAGCTTGTTCCGATCTGTATCAAAGTAAATCACATCTAACACTCAACATCGCTAGACATGATACAACAGAGAATATTTTAAAGACATCAGAACGTTTAACTACTCATTCTTACCAAACTCACAAATGTACACAGAAAATCACATATACTATTAGCCTACTATAGCATTGCTGGTGGTATATATTTGCATGCTTTTTATAAAATGTTGTTTAGCATGTTTCAATGTCAGATAACAAAACGTCAGCATTTGTGTAAGAAAATAGCTTTAGCCTACAGATTTTTAAAAATCATCCCTTTTAAAAGACCCTCCCTTTAAGTAGAATCTAAAAAGTTATTTCCCATATGTGCAGCTTCCATTTAAATGTTCACCTGACAAATTAGACCTACAATGCTTACTTCTGCTACTGGAATTTTTGGTTACACTTTATTTTAAGGTTTCCTTGTTACAGAGTAATAGTAATATTAATTAACTACATGTACTTACTATATGGTTAGGGTTAGGATTAGGGTTACTTGCATGTAATTATGCATAATTAATTGTACAATAGTAATTACATGTAACATGTGTAACGTAAAATTCACAAAAGACTTGTGGTGACAAAGTCATGCTAGTCTAATTTTTGTGTAATGTTTTTCATTTCATAACAGTGATTTCACAGGCCCGACCAGTGTCCTCCAACAGTGACCCTTGCCCTGTTCCAGCCTGGCAACCCAGCAATATGGACTGTTCTCAACGTAAATGAGATGACATAGTGAAGATAGGGTGTATCTGAAAAATTTACAAAAGGCTTCCAGTGACAAAGTCATGCTAGTCTAATTTTTGTGTAATGTTTTTCATTTCAAAATAGTGATTTCACAGGCCCGACCAGTGTCCTCCAACAGTCACCATTGCCTTGTTCCAGCCTGGCAACCCAGCAATATTGACTGTTCTCAACGTAAACAAGATGACATAGTGAAAATATAGCATATGTGAAAAAAATCACTGACCCAAGCATTTCTGATTTTATTTGTGAGACATGTGAGACTAACATCAATAAATGATTTCTTATTCGAAGGGATGACATCAAATTTGAGGCAAGATTTGGAGATCAGACTAGAAACAGACTGTCATCAAAGGCCAGCTTACACTGAACGTAAGCATCTTTCAGAAATTCCAGACAGTAGGCCTTTCAAATTAACCTAACATGTGCAGAGTTAATAGCTTATTTAGGATTCTTTCATTAATCACAAACATGAGATAATGACATTTTTTTTTCCAAGTAACAACAGTTAGTTGGAGACCAAACGAGGTGGAGGCACATCATCCAACTCCACGGCCTGATGATAGACTGGGCTTTCCTGAACGTAAGCTATTTAATCCTATTACATTGTTTGGGTCTATGGAATCTGTTTTGTTGATGTTTACTAAAAAAAACATGCTGGAATTAATGTACTAGTTAAGGCTGGGTAATATAGCTGTCAGGCTCTGGGCCAGGTTTTGTGTGTGTCTTTGCTCCCTATGTGCTCCGTCATCCAGTTTCTCTGTCTGGTGCTTTGAATTCATTGTTCCCAGGTGTTTCCAATGTTAATTGTCATTAGTTCCAGGTGTCCCTTGTCTTCCCCTCATCAGTTCCTGTGTATTTAAAGTGTGTTCTAGTTCTTGTCCTTGGTCAGTCGGTAAACGTCATCCTGTCCTCCTGATGTGTCGAGTCCTGTGATCCCCAGCCTTCGTTTAATAAACCCTTTTGAGTTACTTTACTCCGTGTCTCCTCGCTCTTTCGTTCCCGTGTTCCTCGTGGGTGTGAACCGTGACAATAGCTAAGAAACTTATGACAATTTAATGTTTCATATCAATTGGTATCTGTAATTATTTGTAATAAATATGTAATAAGAAGTTTTTATAACTTTTTTTTTAAACAAAAAGCAGAAGAAAAAAAGGTTTAAATTTAACTACTGTATTTTTAATTTATCCAGTGTACAATAATGCACTCTTGACATCCATTAAAATAACGGCAAAAACTCGAATGGACTATGAAAACGAGAATAAAGCCGTACAAGCTGCAATCCATTTCTTACTGGTTAAAATGAACGGAGACTATCGCGTGGGATCTGCGCCTATGACCCAACTGAATGTTACCTACATGTGAGACATGTGACATATACTTCTTTCCCTAGATCAAAGATATAGCCTTCGTGACACACATCAACGAATGCCAACTACCTGCACTGGTACGTTTGGTCACATCTTTCTCTTGATGTTGGAAAATTGCTGTAATAAGGAAAAGTTTAATAATGGATTTTTTGCTGTATTTCTAACAGCAGTTGAAAGGATCATCCTGGAGCAGATTGGGGAACTTCACATCAAGGTGGACCATTTGACAGCCATTGTTCAATCTCTCAGTCAAACCAGGGCTCAAGAACAACAACCTCAGAGCAATGACTGTGACCATTTATTTCCCATCTCCACACTTAGTGAATTAAACTGCTTTGATGAAAGGCTTCTTCGAGATGGCGATTTTAAGAAACATGTGGTAGGTTCTCTAATACTTTGAGATGTGTATACAGTGTGTAAGCGACAACAAAACGTTGAGTTGATCAGTTTAGTCCATTGTTTGTGTTGGCCTGCACAAATCTGAGCAGGAGGGTTAAACTTATGTGTTCCAAAGTAACAAGACGTGACAGAAAATAGGATTTAGATTGTCTGTAGTAACATTTGCTTAAATTTACATTTACATTTAGCAAACACTTTTATCCAAAGCGACTTACAATTGGGGAATACATAAAGCGATTCTTCTTAAAGAGGCAAACAGACACAGGAAGTGCTTGTAATACCAAGTTTCAGGCATTGTTCAAGTAAGTACATAGCAATGGTAGGAGAAACCATGTGCCTGTATGATGGGACCCAGTGATGTAGTGTATATGGAGAAGAGGACGGGTCCAGGAACTGATCCCTGAGAAACGCCAGTGAGCAGTTGATGTGCTTTGGATAACTCCCCTCCCCAGGCCACCCTGAAAGACCTAACAGTGAGATAATGCAGTGGGGAAGGTGCCTGTGAGGAGAGATGTGTTGATGATGTGTGTGAGTGCTGGTAAAAGTGTGGGAGAGATTGCTTGGAGAAGGTGTGAGGGGATTGGGTCTAGAGGGCATGTTGTAGGATGGCTGGAAAGGAGAAGTTACATACCCTTGCTTTAATTATGTATTTCATTACAGATCGCAAAGCTGTCCACAACAGGGGGAAACTCTGTTAAAAAAACAGTGTGGCGGGTGTGCAGGAAGGTCTTTAGTCCTGAAATTGCCACCCAACTAAATTGGTGTGGGAGAGGACAGAAGACTGGCATCAAGTCACGACCAGTGCATGAAGTTCTACTCTGTAAGTTTTACTGGGTTATCAGTAACAATCACATTATGGGAGACTTAATCAATATTTCTTTTTCAGTTTATATACAGTTGTGCTTAAAAGCTTGCATACATCGACATGTTGTTTAATACTGCCATTTATTTGCAAAATATAACTGATCATGCAAAAGACTTTTGCCACACAAAGGATATTGGCCACACAAAGCTGTTTATTATCACAGAGTTGTTTGGCTCATTTATTAATCATGATAACTGAAAACACAAAAATGGCCCTGATCAAAATTTTACGTACCCTTGAATGTTTGGCCTCATACACAAGTTGCTGCACACAGGTTTACATAGCTGCCAGAGGTCAATTTCTACACATGTGACTTTTTGTAATTGTAATAAATGTGTGTGAAAATACTGTAGTTAGTGATTCTCTTAATGTAGTTCTCGAGGGGATGAACTGAATTAAATGGATACTGAGCCGTGGCTATATATATATATATTTTTTTTTTTTTTTTGCATGATCAGTCTTATTTCCAATTAAATGCCAATATTTAATTTTTAGGGTTTTTTTTAGTTTTTGAGTTTTAGATAAATGGAAAAGGTAAGATTATATCTAGATAGTTTTTTTTTTACATCTTACATTAAACATTTGAGTATTTTTGGATCCCTGAGTGGGAAAAACAGCAATACCGCTCTCCGTTGCTATATATATATATATATATTTTTTTTTTTGCATGATCAGTCTTATTTCCAATTAAATGCCAATATTTAATTTTTAGGGTTTTTTTTAGTTTTTGAGTTTTAGATAAATGGAAAAGGTAAGATTAGGATTGGAAAAGGAGGTGGGATTAGATTTATGGGTTAACTAAAAATAAGATTAGGAAGAGATTTGGGTTAGGGGGAAAAAAGGGGAAACAGAATTAGGGTTTAGAAAAAAAAAGAGGTGTGTGGGAGTTGTTTTTCTAACTTTTTCTAAGTTGAAGGGAGCATGAGAGGTGTTATTTTTAGAATGGAAGGTAAAAGGTTGTAAAGAATGTATTGTGTAAGTACTACCGGTAACACTTTATAATAACTTTCATTAATAAATCATTAACAAACATTACATAATGTTTAACTAATCATTACTTAATATATTCACATATCTAGAAATAAGAGATATGTGCTTGTTAATGTTAACAAATGAAATGATTAAATATTACCAAATGATTAACTGATCATTATTTAATATAAATTGAAATGTTTACAAATGTCATTAAACTTTCAATTCATATGATCATGCATTTTTTTTAAATATTCAAATGATTTTGACAGATGATTTACAATGTTTAAAAGCTTCATTAATAAATCATTAACCAACATTATATAATGCTTAACGGATCATTAGTTAATGTTTACAAATGTCATAACTTTCAATGCATTTTAAAAATCTACAAATGATTTTAACAGAAATTATTCAATCATTACAAGTTTATTTGTTAATATACTTTTGAATGATTACAAATATCATTAACTTAAACTTCAGTTCACATATTAGCTAATGCTCATTTTTACATTAACAAATGTTGTAAAAATATAGCTTAATTAGTCATTTTAAGCACTTCGCAAGTTATTCATGTTAATATATTCATTAACTCAATCACAGTCTTTAAAGGTCATATATTTGGTCTTTGTTTGTTGTGTAGACTTCTACTATTTGCACATCTTTAATCATTTATTAATTATTTGTTCATGTTTTTTGCTGTACCCAATCTAAAGTGGAAACTATTCATCAATTGTAAATGATTATAAACATTTACTAATCATTAGTACCTTTATGAGCAGTCATTTTGATGATAAAAACTGTCTCAAATGACCAGAATTCACCCTATTTTCACATCTTTACAAATCATTTATTAATCACTTGTTCATGTTTTTGCAGTACCCAATCTAGAGTTGAGGCTATTCATAATTTGTGAATGTTTATATACATTTACAATTTTTTTAGTATATTTATTGACACTGGACTTTTAGTAAAAATATTTCAAAATTTTACTGGTTTTGCTGTACTTTGGATCAAATAAATGCATGCTTGGTAAGCAGAAGAGACTACTGTATATTGAATATATATATATATATATATATATATAATAACATTCCTGTCCCCCTCACTTCTGAAATAATGGCTACGCCCCTGAGTATATTATTTTGTATCATTAAACAGAACATTCCTTGAATCATACATCAACAGGAGGGGAAAAAACACATTTTTATTTTTTTTTAATTTATCATCTATAAAAACAAATGCAATATACACAGATTGAATCGTTTTCTTTTATAGTAAACGCTTTTAATCATTGTATAACATCTGTCAAAGTCATTTGTAGATTTTCAAGATGTGCATGATCATATGAATTAGAAGTTTAATGAAATTGGTAAGCATTTTAATTTACATTAAATGTTAATTACTTAATACATTTATTAGTAGGGGTGTGACGAGACACTTATCCCATGAGATGAGACGAGACACGAGACTGGGTCCATGCGAACGAGACGAGATTTTTAGACTTTTTACAAGAAAGCCTCAATGATGAAATATATAAGGAAAATATATAATATATAATATCTTTTATTCAACTGAAAAAACACAAAATGCAAAAAACGTAGGTGCATTTTGAAATCAACTTGTACTTTATGAAACTAAACTTCTATTTGAATGAATTATATGCAGCAATAAACAACATGTAAACTAGAGCTGCACGATTTCAGATAAATTGAGAATCATGTTTTTTTATATAAATTGGAGATCACGATTCTGAACAAAAAAAGATTAGAAAACTAAACAAAATAACATAATTTACTAGTGGTTCTGACAAAATGTACATTAAGTCTTTTTAAAAAATATATTTAGAGCCCGACCGATATGGGTTTTTTGGGACCGATATTAGAGAGTAAAAAAAGGCCGATATTAAACAAATTTTTTGCAATGATCACTCAAATGTGGTGATCAAACACTTATAATGATGTGACAGAGATATGTAATGATGGAGGCAGGGCATTTAACAATTTAACAATAAACTTTATTATCCAAAATGAGTCTGACATCAGTGCACTTCACATCAGTGAAGTTTATTCAACTTAAATTCAATTAAATTCCATTCAACTTTATTCTGTTGAAGTTTATTTCACTTTGGAACATTCATTCACGGACTTGCGCTGTCTTTACACACAGACGAAACTTACTAGAGAAGTGTGAAGTGTGACATAATATACCTCTGTAAATAAATAGAAATTCACGTCTCACGCACTTTAATGCCCTTTGAATGTAACGTATACGTTCCCTTCGAACTGGAATCATGGGGGAATATCATGTGAAGTCCACTTCGCAGGGCACTTACGGTCCAATAAGCCAGCGCTTGAATGCTGCTGCCTGAACAAGAGACCTCCTTAGTGAAGTGAAAGTGTTGGCTGGTGTCACTATCTCGCGAACGTGCCGGCGGATTTCCACCAAATTGCCACACTCCGCGCATCGGTAGCCCCCCGGGATCGTCAGATCGGTCGGCGCCAGACCGCGAATTTAACCACCCCTAACTCCCGAACCCCGGGGGCTATCAACGCGGGGGTGGTCTCATTCGAAAGAGGGCCTCGAGACATACACTCGATTTGCATTCAAATTCAAAGTTTCAATGGTTTTCCATAGACGTAAGCTTTAAAGCATTTCATCCAGGTCAATGGAGCACGCTCTGCCGGACAAACTAAGTAATTACACCATGCGAATTTAACCACCCCTAACTCCCGAACCCCGGGGGCTATCAACGCGGGGGTGGTCTCATTCGAAAGAGGGCCTCGAGACATACACTCGATTTGCATTCAAATTCAAAGTTTCAATGGTTTTCCATAGACGTAAGCTTTAAAGAATTTCATCCAGGTCAATGGAGCACGCTCTGCCGGACAGACTAAGTAATTACACCATTTCAAGCATTTTATCTGCGTTATATGTTATGTAAAAAAATGTTCATATCGGCAGCATATTCGCCAATACCGATATATCGGCGACAGGCTCATATCTGCCGATAATATCGGCTTAACGATATATCGGTCGGGCTCTAAATATATTTATTTGAACAAAATTTTAAAAATAAAAAAATTCAACGAAGGAGTCAGTGTCAATTCATAAAGACTTGTTTCACTATTGGAATCTCCTGAATGAATGATTCAATGACAAATACTTTTTTTAACGGGCAGTTATCGCCACCTCCTGGCGGAAGAGTATAAAAGCGTTACAATACATACACGTGTTAAGATACTTTCATTTTGTTCGCTACTGTAGAGAATAAGCGTTTATACTCAAACTATAAACTTTTATCCCAGTACTTATGTTATTTAAATGTCTGTAACACAGAAATAATGATGTGTGGTTGAAAAGACTGTTTGTGTTGCTCTTTCTGGATCAGCAGCAGCATGAATGATTCATTAACATGGGCAGCGACAAAACATGCTTCTCACGCTCCACTGAAGCTCGCGATGTGAAACTGATGTGAGCTGAATCATGGTCATTCAGGAATAAGATTGTGTGCGTGTTTGAAAAGAGACTGCGATCTTTAAACGATTAATCGTGCAGCTGTAATGTAAACACTGCAAATTGTTTTGCGAGGATATCATCACATTCTCGCGAGACCAGTCGGATCTCGTGAGATCTCGTGCCGCGAGATCTCGTCACATCCCTATTTATTAGTAAACATTAACAAGCACATTATTTCACATTTCTAGATATGTGAATATATATTAACTAATGATCCATTAAGCATTACATAATGTTTGTTAATGATTTATTAATGAAAGTTATTATAAAGTGTTACCAAACTGGTGCTTCCCTCTCTTGATAGTATTATTTTTTTTCTAAATATTTTCCCTTGTAGTGTCAATTCTTAGGAATGGTGCCCTGACACACATCACAGAGGCCGAGATAGAAACGGCTATACAAAACTGGCTCGAGTTGAGCAAAGATAGACTTGGAGGGCAGTGAAGGCAGAGACCACAGCTTTAAAAGTGTGCCAATCAATGAAACTACAGCTCTGGTTTTGACTGGTGCTAAGGCAGTGCAATATGAAATCTAGGTTGTGGTTTCAAAATCTAAAAAAGCTAGGGATTAGTTACTTTGCAGTCCTACTTTAAATTCCCCTGAGCCACACTGATGCTGCTTAGCTCATCACACATTTTAAAGGTGGCATTCTTTTTCAAGCAAAGATAGCAACTTAATTACATTTAATTTTCCTTACATGCACCCTGACATTTACATTTCATTCATTTATGGCCTACTGTACAGAGATGAAATTACAATAAAATGAATAAAATGCATTTTTAAAAACAAGGGAATTTGATGGATTCAGCCTTTAGTCATTTACCTCATCTCTAACCAGATCATTCAGGGCTCAGTAGATATCTGAACACTTTTCTTTGTTGTTGTTTAATCTTGAATTTCTGCCTCCCCAGAAAAAAGGAACAATATAATTTTACAAGCATGTGGCATTAAAGGTGACGTAAGAAATTCTAAATAAAGTAAAGTAAAGAAATATAAACTTCTAAATTATAAAAATTTCTATTTGTTGTTGAAATATATTCATTTGTGGCTGTCATAACTTGTTTCATAACAGATTTATTTAATTAAATAATTAAGACATCTCTTAAATAAATTATGAGTATATAGTCTAATATTTCCACAAAATGCACTTCTCTAGAACTAGGTGTTTATACAGCGATCTGTCACGCCACATCAACCAGCATCAAAACGGCAATTATTGTTTGAATTTACTGAAAAAATTGACATAATTATAAAGATGAGAATTTGTTTCTTATCAAAAATAACAATATATAAAACTGGAAGTTTCCAGTGAAGTTCCACTCTTGCAGTATTATTAGATAAGAGTATTATCATCATGCAGTATTTCTAACAAAGCTACCGACAATGTTACAACCAATGCTCTGTGACTGTGACATGGTTTAATGCGTGTGCGTTGAACATTCAAGTCATTCTACACTGAAGGGTGGAGCAGAGTTGCCATAGAAATGGGGCGGCAACACTGCAACTGACAAACAGCAAAACATGCTACTGATTTCACTGCTTTCAGGTAAGTTTAGTCCCTAAAATCACACAAATATTACATACTGTTCCTGACACTTTTCTTACTTGTAATTGACAGGTTTCTGTTGAATGCTTCATAAAAATAGTTTTGAAAATATATTTGAAAATGTCCATATGCATCTCAACCGTTTTCAGATGAGGTAGGCTAACTATTGATTGTGATAGATTGTTTGTTTGTTTATTATAGAAAGATTGTTTATGAAAATTTTTGTCAGCTTTTTAAAGGTTCTGCTGGTAATTTGTCAATTGGTGATTGAAAACTGGTTAATTTATTTAACCTAAACTTATGCACTGCATGGTTAATCAGTAACTTATATTACAAGGACCATGAATATTGGTTGAAAACTAGTTCAAAGGTGTTTTGAACTTTCATGGTAAACAAATATTAATAGAAATTGTTCTGTGATTTCAGGAGGACAGAAAGAAACACTCCACAACAGATGAGAAGCTCAGAGTTTTCATAGATCTCAAAATCATACAGTCACTGCTGGAAAGGGTTCAAATACACAAAAATACTGGAAAACCAAAGAATTCATGGGACCTGAAGGATTTTTCTGAAGAACAGCAAGCAGTTTAACTTTTCAGGACAAACAAGGGACTCATGAACAACTATCACACAAAAAAAAAAACAGCTGTGGATCATTCAGGTAACAACACAATATTAAGAATCGAAACTTTTTTTGAATGGGGTCATTTTTATAAATTCAACTATTATTTTCTCTTGTGGACTATATGCAAATGTCTTTTATGTGAAATATCTTATTCAGGTGAGTACTAAATAAAAAACACTGTAGGTAGCTAAATATGACATTAGAATGGGTTTAAGTAGAATGGGTAAAACAACATGCATTTTGTATGATCCTTCTTATTTTGGTAAAATAATTAACATTTTGCAAATTCTGCAAGGTGTATGTAAACTTTTGACTTCAACTGTATTTTTAAAATTACTGTTAATGTCTTAATGTGTTTCCAGCAATTTCTCAAAGGGGAAGGGCTAGGCGCTCAACAGCGGAATTCTTAGTATAGTTTACATCTCAAAAAGTCTGTTAACATCTCAACCGTTTTCAGACAAGGTAGGCTAACTGATTGTTAAAAGTACTAAATTGAAAGAAGATCACAATGTTGTGTTTCGGTGATTTAAATCAAATGTCCTCAATATATAATACAATAATCGTACGTTTTGAAACAATGGTTGAGTGGATAAAAATGTGTAACTGTAATGAAAGCATCAGATTAGGTTTTGAAAGAATGTCTAGTGGTGTTACAAGCGTGATCAGTTTGGATTTTTGTACTAAGAGTTTTGAAAATTTGCACCTTACTTGGGAAATAGTACCAAAGCAAATAAAAAAAAACTGTAAAATGAGTTAGATTACATAATAGACAAATGTATTAAACTGAATGAGAAGACATGCAAATGAAAAGTTTAATAGTAAGAGCTTTATGAGAGGCTGATACTGTGAATGAAACATTTACATAGATTAAACACTTATTTTGTGTAGTGAAAAGGATACTTTGTAAATGTGTGTATTTTATTAAGAAAAATTGAAAATATGCTGAAATGTTTGAAAAAGTGCACTTTTGATGATATACAGTTTTCTGTGAAAATAGTACCAAAGTGAATAAAAAAAAACTGTAATTCATGAAGTTACCAAAAAGACAATTAAAGCTGACTTAAATGTGTGCATGCATGTAATATGTTATATATGGGTCACATTTAAGAACATGTCTCTGAAGTGGTTTTCAGAACTGTCCTGGAGCAGCCCAGCACTGTATCCCTCATCTAACACACCCGATTCATCTCGTCAGCCCAGAGACTTTTAAGACCTGAGGTGGGTCAGAAAAGGTAAAGAGTTGAGAAAATACAATGCGTGTCAGATCCACGTCATGTTCAGCAGCGACAGCTCTTTATCTGTCAAAATAACCTAATAATCCAGCTGCTGTGATGGCTGTTAATCAAAGAAAAAATAGGAAATTTAGGGATTCATCTATATTTCATTTAGAATTTAGTGTTTGATAACTTTAATTTCTACATATTAACTACTTGCCGAAGGGCAGGTAGCTAAATGTGACATTAGAATGGGTTTATGTTAAGATTGTTTTAAATTCACTTAAATTACAAGTTGTTTTAAATTACATGTCTAATAAATGTTCAAAAATGGTAGCTCTCAATTATACTGTAATGCTGAATGGCTGTAGGCAATGATTAAATATTAGGGGGAAAACAATTTTATAGAGACATCAGTAGTATTGGTATCAGTGATACTGTCCTTCAGTGATAAAAAAGATGGCATTAAACAAATATTAGAAATATTCATTATAATTATACATATTAAAACTATACTGTCTTTTTGTTGTTTGTACTTTAATTTGAAGATTGAATGTGAAATTATTGCAATATAAAAGTATATTTAAAAACTTTAATGTTAGGTGGGATTAAACTGGGTCTGATTACTTCTCACTGATACCAATACTACTGATGTCTCTAGGAAATAGTTTTCCCCATTGACTAGCCATTCAACATTACAGCATAATTTAGAGCCATCAGTTTTAATATTTATTAGACTTAAATATACATAAATTGAATAAAGTTATCAAAAACAAAATGATAAATTAAATATAGATGAATCCTTAAAGCTATAAAAGTTACTGATTTTCTTTTTTCTTTAATTTGTTCTTTGATTTACAGACATCACAGCAGCTGGGTTATTAGGTTATATTTGGCTGCTTTAAGAGCTCCAAACACTGACTGGTTTCTTCACTCCTTCTCCTCTCCACCAGTAAGCTGGTGTGTTGTGAGCGTTCTGGCGCAGTATGGCTGCCGTCACATCATCCGGGTGGATGCTGCACATTGGTTGTGGTTGCGGAGATTCCCCCCTTCCATGTAAAGCGCTTTGAGGACCCAGAAAAGCAGTATACCAAAAAGTATTCAGACACCAGATATAATTTTTGATTTTTTTACAAGTGGGTGCAGGACACTATAGTTCATTTATGTAAGTGAGGATAGCAGAATTAGTAAACTGTGACATATTATACCCAAAAATTCTGCATACAGTGGACTACCAGTAAAATTGAATTTGGGACTGAAAATTATTAAATTAGCTAAAATAGATGACAGTTATTCAACAGAATTAATTAAATACCTTTCTATCAAAGTTATCTGACATTATCAAGATGAATTTGTTCTAGCACAGTTTAACTCTGAGTTTGTCAGATTTTATTACCATTTTCTAAACCAGTGGTTCTCAAAGTGTGGTACGAGTAGTACTCGAGTACTCTAGTGGTACGCAGAGGAATCACTACATTAAATATAAATTAATGTTAAAATACAATACATTTCAATTTAATCTTTATGATTTTTTTAACATTTGAGTACAGTACAGTTTTTATTTAACTTTTAGGTCATTTTAATTTAATCATTATTTAAGTTATTTATTGACCTGTATGTAAGCACAGTGCAGTGTTAATGTTCAAACTGTATTACAATGTTAAAAACACTAAATTGACAAACCTTTTTTTTTTTTTTTTTGCATTTCACCTCTGCTCTAGCTTGTTTCCGTCTAAGAACTTGGAACTGCATACTAAATATTGTTGGCTTTGTGACAGATTGCTTGTTTTGTTCCTAGATTCTTCCATGCTGATGGCCTGCTGCACCCCAGCAGATTTGGAGCCAACATCTTCAAGATGCTATTAACCATAGTAAGTCAAATCTCAAACATACAATACTGTTTAAAAGTTTGAGGTTGGTATGATTTTTAATGTTTTTGAAAAGAAGTCTCTTCTGCCCACCACAGCTTCACTTATTTGATTAATACAGTAAAACTGTAATATAGTGAAATTAGTACTGTTTTCTATTTTAATATATTTAAAGTAGTTTATTTCTGTGATGAAAAGCTGAATTTTCAGCATCATTACTCCAGTCTTCAGCGTCACAGAAATAATTTCAATATGATGATTTGCTGCTAAAAACAGTTCATGACAACTCTCAGAAGTCCACGATACAATATTTATTGCAATATTTAAAAAAGACAAATGAAGACTTGGGCTAAATAAATAAAATGTTGTACATTTTAAAATGAAATTCTTCTACCTACCTAATGCACTTTGAGAGTTCAAAATTAAGAGCTCCAGCCCATGTTTCTAAGAAAACTTAAGTCAGAAAAAAAAAGTCAGTGAATTGACTTGTACCTGAACTCTAAAGTGTGCTCAACCCTCTTTTTAGTTATGCATACTGTCTCAGTCTAAATTACATCCACACTGGTATTTTACAAGCCAAACAAATTAGAATAGAGTAATAATAACAATTAGGGATGCACCGATACCACTTTTTCCAGTCATTATTTTTGTTTTCTTTGTGCACAAAACTTTTCTCGTAGCTTCATAAAATTACCTGTTGAACCACTGATGTCAGATGGACTATTTTAATGACGTCCTTGACCGTGGTAGTACCCTTGCTGTCTATGGAGGGTCAGAGAGCTCTCGGATTTCATAAAAAAAATTTGCAATTAATGTTCCAAAGATGAACAAAGATCTTACAGGTTTGGAACGACATGTGGGTCAGTAATTAATGATGGAATTTTCATTTTTTAGTTGAACTATCCCTTTAAATCAGGGGTGTCAAACTCAGTTCCTGGAGGGCCGCATGCGGCCCTGCAGAGTTTAGTTCCAACCCTGCTCCAAACACGCATACCTTGTAGTTTTCAGATAAGTCTGAATGACGTGATTAGCTGGATCAGGTGTGTTTAATTAGAGTTGAATCTAAACTCTGCATGGCTGTTGCTCTCCAGGAACTGAGATTGACACCCCTGCTTTAACTGATACTGTGGCATATGTAGTCCATTCTATAGAGACTGTCTGTTCTCGAATTCTGAGGACAAGTAGTTTGTTTACCAAGGGATCTAAACACATTCTGATTGTGATTAAACCAGATAGTAGCAAAAATAAGCACAAATAGGGGCAACAGCAGCTATGATGCTTGGCCTGTAATGAGGTCACAAAACACTGGACTATTGATAATAATGAGGATATATCAAAGTCCACTAAAGAAAGTAGAGCTTTTTTTTTTTGTATTTTATTCCTTAACTATGAACTAACTAGCCTTCCTCATAATGTTTGGGACTCAGGCACAATCTTTTAGTTCAAATTAGATTAAATTACACATTTTTAGCCAAGTATTCACATAACACATCTCATCTGCACTCCAATTATATGTGATGAAATAAGTCATCTTTTGTCTGAAATATGAACAGCAGCAATGCTAATCTTTATCCTTTTGCTTTCCTGTTTCTATCTCAGGATGTCCATTCCAAGGTTACTAGAGATTACGCCAGCTCCAGTTTGGATCCAGCCTCATTTGTGAAGACTTCAGATGACGCCAACACTCACAAAGACTTCAGATGTTGGCAACTGTAAATGGCCATTCAAAACTGACAAATATTATCCTTATATTGCCTTTAATGGCAAGTTTGACAATTTTCAACCCACTTTGTATTATTGCAATGTTTCTCATGTGCACCTATATGTCCCCTTTTATTTGTAAGCAACACTCCGCAGGATGACGCAAAATGAAATGACGAGTTTTGACAAAATGACAAAAAAAAAAATAATAATAATTTTTTGCAGCATCAAAATGACAAAATCTGTGTTTTGTGTCATGCAGCAGAATTTTGCTGACAAATAAACTGGGTATCTCTGAGAAAGAATAAACATTGTTCTTTTACATATCCCAGTCAGCAAATTTCATTTGGCGCGGATCTGGCCCATATCAACAGCTAAACGATTAAGTTCCGCACGTGCAGTGGTTAAAATGACACTGTATTTGTTCGTTACAATTTTCGGTACGAATAAGTGTACCATTACACCCCTAGAAAACATTTAAAACACCAAAACTGCACTTACCTGCATAAGAATGTGTCTGGGCAAAGGCTGTTGTTGTAAATAGGGAGCTTTTTCATCATCTTCTTTTTTAACGGCGACTGAAAGAGGAAGCAGAGCGGGAAATAACGGATATATTTTCAAAATGTCAGTAATCCACCAATAGGAATAAGGGAAGACACAAAGCAACCAATAGCATTGTTGAATGAGCTGAGATGTGGACTGCCACTGACCTGCCAGCAGTTTATATGTGTTTTTCCAAATAAAAGCCAAATGTTAACCATAAGTTAACATATTCCATGGTGTGCCATAGCCAAGCCACATATGGCTCTCAGTTGTGTGCTATCATCTGGACCATATACCTAAAAAAAATTGTCATCCAAAAGAAAATTCCCTCCCATTCTAAATCCATGGCAAAACATACGGTTAAAGTTTGGCCCATATGTGCTCAGCCATGCCATACCTAGGCCAAATGTGACAGCTATCAGCCACATTTGGCCCAAACGTTCTTGCTATCTGGGAGTTGTCATTGGCCATGACATGGTACAGATCTTATAAATCAAAGTTGATTTTTTTCTTTTACAAGTATTTTTGTTAATCCTTTTCAATCATTTAGCAAACCATTTTATAACTTTGAAGGTTGGTCATGTGCCGGGACATAAAAATGGACATACAACAAAAATGGTAATGAAACCGCACTTTATCCTGTACTCCTGTATCATATGCTGCAAATATGATTTTTGAATTTACATTGGATTTTCCCTTCAGAAACATGAAATTCCATTCTATCTTTCTTCACTTGGGCTATTTCATCATCTGAACCGATGTGCCAAAATTTAAAAGAATATACCTCATCTCTAGAATTGCATTTTCACTCCGACTGACCATAAAACTGGGGAATCTCCACTAAATCAGGGCACATGACAAGTTGCTAGGGGTTTGATTTCTTCCACCCATCTCAAAGCCATTACAATCCCATTATTTAGATAGATAATTAGCCGTCTGTAACCTGTTCATCAAAGGGCACAGTTTTCTGTATATTTTGAAGCATTTGTATACATTTAAAAATAGCCATTGTGATAAGCATTTTGCTGTAACTCACAAAATCAGACCACTAAAATCTGACACTTTGGATATTTAATGTCCAATAACTGTACAGTTCTATTGCCCAATTTCAGATATCAGAAGGCATGTGCTATGTAGGACATTTTTGACAACACCCAGGTTTGACCTGGTTTGCCTGTACCAGGGCTCTTCAACTCCTGACTTGATCCTGAACTTTTCAACCGTCCTTAAAGGGATAGCTCACCCAAAAATGAAAATTCTGTCATCATTTGCTCACCCTCAAGTTGTACCAAACCTGTATTCATTTATTTCTTGTAATAAAAACGAAAGAAGATATTTTGAAGAATTTGGCTCACCAAAAAGTTTCTGGTCCCCATTGACTTCCATAGTTTTTTTTTTAAATGTTTTATTTATTTCCTAATATGGACGTCAATAGAGTCCAGCAACTGGCTGGTTTTCAACATTATCCAAATTATGAATTAGATATTTTGAAGAATGTTCAACAGAAGAAAGACTTCATGCAGGTTTTGAACAGAGAGTGAGCAAATGATGCAACCCTCTACGGACACCTTGGCAATTGAATCGCCATTGGCTAGTAAATTTTTCTGTTTACTCGCCAGACTGAAATACTATATTTATATAGCTATATATATAGCTGTGCCATTTTACAAACACACACACACACACACACACACACACACACACCATGAACTTAGGACTGGTGCTGGTGATTTTTTTGGTCATTCAGTGTTCCTGTAAAAAATTGAAAAAAAAAAAAAAACTAACAATAATACTGACAAGATACTGATATTATTGAAAAATACTGATATTATTATTATTATAATTATACGAATTCTACTAATAAGAACAATATAAAGCGCACCAAGGATTAACGAGCTTCTGGATTCATGAATATTAATCAGGTTGTGTGCGTTCACTCGAACTGATTTGCTGAAATCTAAACAGGGACGATAATAGGTGAGCACCAGCCAATGAGATTGCCGTTTGCGCATTAGTTCCGCCCGCTACCGGAAAACCCGGCATTTCTTAAAAGCAGAAGAATTCCAAAGGAACTTCGTTATTTTGACAGGAAAATACAACAAAGAATATCGTTTACATGTATCACATCAATTCTGCATGTTATGTAAGACTCTCTCGCTCTCTCTCTCTCTCTCACTTTGCGCGTGTGAGAGAAAGCGTCAGCGAGTTGTGCGCCTTCACACTAGAGTTTACGTTACGCCAAATACACAAACACAGGTGCGCTGCGCATCCATTGAGATGAAATGATAAATAGCACAGATCGCTTGACGGAGAGTGAAACTCTGAAGCACTCAGTCAGAGAGTGTTTGGTGAGTGAAAATATATCTGTGCTAAACTTATACTCAGTCTCCAACTCACACACTGGCGAGTAAAATCTGAGAATTTATTAGCCATTGGCTAATATTATACATCATTTAGTCGCCCAGCATGAAGTTTAGTCGCATATGCGAGTGATTTACTCGCAATGTAGAGGGTTGTGATGACAGAATTGTGAGTGATTGTCTTGCTGAGTTTAGTTCTAACTCTAACCAAACACGCCAAACAAGCGAATCATAATGCTCCAAATTATTTGTGAATTAGACAGTTATGTTTGATTAGGGTTAGAATCATATTTGGTTTGGCCAAGAGGACCCCATATGTCCCTTATGAAATTAGCCATGGTTTTACTACAATGAAAACCAAAAAACCATAGTTATTGTAGTTATTCCTTGGTAACTATAAATTAACCAAACTGACCCATATAAAGACTATGTGGTTACTAGCTTGGCCCCATGTAGGCACCCTATATGGGACTGATTGTGTTTGCCCATGTCTTACACAATTGGTAAGGCCAAGCGGGCCCCATATGTATTTCCCCATTCAGGACCCATATAGACATTAACACTAGAACCGCCATGGGGTAAATTTTACCCATGGCTGTTTTTCAAATGTACATAACAGATTTAAAATAAAACATTCAAGTCTCCCAGTCATTGACTTTTACTAAAATTATGTAATTTACAATCCAATGTTGTTAAAAATTATTTAGATAAAACCAGATAAAAAAAACGGGGCATTTATACCTATAAGCGCCAGCGGGTAAACTTTACCCACCTATATAATGCATGTATTTTCACATTTTCTTGCCACTTATGTTTTAACATTGTACATTTCTAGGCAACGCCTTTCACTCACTGATTTAGCGGTTATCAGTTTCATAAATAAAGTCAAAATTACTAAAAAAAGGCGATTTATGGAAGGTAGAAACGCTAAATGCCACGAGTGATGGAGAGTCTGATGGTAAGTTATGCGTCCTGGGTCGGCTCAGCATCTGACGGCTCATCTGACAGTGATCCAGATATCATATTTACATGTTTTAGCCTAACGTTACTCTAATTGGTCAAACTTTGGTTTAATTATTTAATTTTTGTCTTGCCATATCGTTTATTGTTCACTACTGTGTTGCTATTCTAAGTCTTGCCGTTTCCCGAAGGAAAAAAAAAAATCCGATCTAGCTATATGTTATGAATAAAACCATTTTTTTGATTACCCAAAGTTTAATGGTGTTGTTCTCTTATTCAAATTATAAATTATATAATTAAACAAATGAATAAATATTTAGGTGAAGCTGTGCGTTTGAATTTGTCATCGCATCATCCTATGCAGTGTGGTGAATTATTATTGCTCATTATTGTCTATAGGCTATTTTAGTCATTTAAATAGCATGGGTTATCTTAATATATTGATTAATGTCATTATTATATTATTATGGTATTATAATATTACACCACACAAATATTTAGGCTACTACCTTCTAATTTCCGTTGTCAGTGCAGGCTTTTTTTTTATCTTAGGCTGACCGTTATGGATTAGTGTAGCCTGCATTAAAAAGTCTTGAACATAAAACAACAGGATAAAAATATAGTTGATGACTAGACATAATCATTTCATGACTCTATAGACACTTCTTTGTGAAGACAGTGGCATAATACAGTGAAATAATATGCTCTTTAGCCATATAAATACAGTTGTCATGGGCGTGAGTAAAATTTACCTGCTGGCGCTTTTAGGTATACAGCGACCTCTGGCGGTTCTAGTGTTAACTATGTGAGTACTACCTTGGCCCCATGTAGGCAGCCTGTATGGGACTGATTGTGTTTGACCATGCCTAACCCATATGGGTTATCAAAGTGTTTCCCCATTCAGAACCAAGCATAAAGTTCGTACAATGAGAAGTCATATTAATTCAACTATAAATTAAAAATATTGTTCTTTATAATACCACGAAGGACATATATAGTAGTGGCTCCCAACCTTTTTTCCCTTTTGAACTCATTTACTTTGGAATCAACTATTATAATATTACAAATTTTTTTTTTTTTTAAAGGTTTATTTATGGCGTTTTTATGCCTTTATTTAGATAGGACAGTATAGGTCGACAGGAAGTGAAGTGGGTGAGAGAGAGGGGGATGTGATCGGGAAAGGTCCGCGAGCCGGGACTCAAACTCGTGACACCCGAAGCACAATGGCGCAGTATGTCGGTGCGCTGCCCACGAGGCCATCGGCGTGTACATAATATTACTATTATATATATTTTTTCAGTTTTACATCCGAAACAGAGGATCCCAACGAGAGAACAGGTGTAAAGTTGTGCACAGTG